ATGCCTTAATGGCTTCCGTCCTATGGTGCGAAATTCACTGCTATACTTCCTTAAAGCACTCAAGCTTCTTCTTTCTTTTTATCTTTTTTAAGCTTAAAAATCGAAAATCGAATCGCTTATTTTTACCTATTATTGATCAATTGCCTGTTTATATCAAACCACTTATCGTGTCTAGATCGGTGTCTGATATTACTTACTGAATACAAATTTGAGCATTTCAATAATTTCTCACTTACCTTTTTAATAAAATTGTTTTATGGAAATAAACCACTTTGAATTCGACCATTTTTATATCTAAAAATGTACTCACTCCTTTGGTTGAGAAAATGGCATGTCATTTCCTTGAGTTACAATTTTCCTAACTATGACTAAATATATGACACCTACATAAACGAAGCAATAATCATTGGTCAGAGAATTATACACCTTTGTCTGCTGACTCTTTTTGACGCTAAATGAAATAAAACAAGCTATACCTCCCTTTTACGTCAATTATTCTAAATATATAAGTTGTTTGACCTTGTTTTCGTAGCTTGGTCATATTGGTAGGAAGACTTAGAGGAACGCACATTGTCCGGAGTCCATTGTATGCATAATCATATCCAAAGTCGGACCGTGGACGTGGTACATTCCCAGACGTTTCGCCGGCATCGTCAGTGAATTTTGACATTCGTAGCATCATATTACAACTCGTCAAAGAGACAAGTGAAGCCGATCGTGTGCTAAACAGTTATGGTATCTACCCTTCTGCCCTGGCCTATTTACATTTCCTATATCCTCTAATCATGCCTTCACTGTCACAATTTTTTACTTGCTTAATTAAATGTGGTACTGTGTGCCCTTTTGAGCGGCTTTCATAAGAACCTATAAGCACTATATGCTGCCCCCCCCCACCCCCTTTAATCCTTGTGCTGGGAATTTCGATCAGAGTCTGCCATATTGTTAAGCAGTCCTCCTTTCCTAGGTCTTAGCACAGTCTCTCTCTTGCCTCGTAGAATCCATCTGCGATCTCTCTTGTTCAAGAATTTCTCTCTATCTGCTACTCGAAGTGTTATTGCCCCTCCTCTGCGGCTGGGTGACTAATTCAAAACAAAGTTTCTGAGTAAGTCTCATGGTGAGGCCTTTGCCACATGGACCACGTCTCTTATAAAACCTACTGTCACCCCACTAGCTCCCATCACTGCCGCGTCTATCCTCTTTCTATCTCTAATACCAGGCCTATGAGTTGCCATGCTCTAGACTCTTGTATGCTAACCAACAAATATTGTGGTACAGCTTGTTTTGATTTGGTTTAATGTTTAACCACAACATTTGTAGGTTGGCAAACAAGAGACTAGGGCATATGAAGTAATAGGCTTGTTATAATAGATAGAAAGAGGATAGAAACAATGGAAGTTAGAGCTAGTTGGCTAACAATAGTCGTGATTCAAGGATCACTTCTATGATCAAACACGACTATTTTTAGTCAAATAGCTTTAGTCTCCACCGCGTCTTTCCTATTTCTATCTGTGATATCATGTTCATCAATTCCTGCGTCCTAGTCTCTTATGTGCCAACCCACAAATGTCGTGGTTCTAGTTTTTTTTATTAGGCTCACTGAAGACGTCTCCTCTTGGCTTCTGAGTGTTCCTTTCTCATCCCCGTGCGATCTATTTTCCCAAAATTAAGAATATTACCTTGATCTAGTCGTCTTCATTTTGCTGATCTTACTGTTGCCTGATCGTATCTAAGTTTGTTTAGGCAATATGCAAAGTTTTCGCTTATCCTGATTTCTTCAAGTCTCCTGTTCATTAGATTCTCTCGGTCAGTATTTCGATAGCCTCTCGGCTCTTGAGTTTTCTCTTATTTTCATCACATGCAGCCAACCTTTCGGTCGATTTACAATCAATTTCGTGTCCTGTTCGTGCAATTTGTTCCGCTATTTCGCATCTTTAGGTATTCATGTTCCTGCAGACTCTTTGATGTTCTTTGATTCATAGGCCGATTTTTCTTCCAGTTTCATTGATACACTTCTGCTTACAGTTGCAGATTTGATGTGATAAACTCCCTAGCAATCAAGTTTGTCCTTCTTCTCTTGTTGCGCCGGCAGACTGATGAAAAGTGTTTTCTTTTCCTTTGTTATCACCCTGATGTTCCATTTCCTTAGTAACAGTCGCAATTGTTGGCTCAGTTGTGATGAGGGCAGGCAAATCCACTTTTGGTTGTCATCTTGATTCCTGATCTGATTTTACAAGAGACATGGTCCATGTAGCAAAGGCATGGCTATGAGACTTACTCTGAGGCTTTAGCCTCTAATCAATCACCTAGGTACAGGGGATGGATGAATTACGCCTCGAGTAGAACAGATGGGGGAGCAGAGGTCGAGTGAAATACATGTCTGAGGGAGATAGCGACGGATTCTAAAGGGCAAGAGGGAGACTTTGATAGGACCCAGGGAAGGACTACGTAACAATATGACAGACTCTGATCAACATTCCCAGCACAAGGGTAAAGTGGGTGATAACGACAGTATGGAGTGTAAAGAGTTTTCATGAATGCCGCTAGAAGGAGCACACCACAGGACACGATAAAAATTGTGAAAGGGAAGACGTTATAGGATGATATATGAAATGTGAATAGCCCATGGCGGAAGGGGAGATGCCACAACTATTTAGCACACGTTTGGTCAAAGGATGGGTTTCACTTGTCTCTTTGACGAGTTGTAATATGGTGATACGAATGACGAGATTCACTGACGATGCCGACTACGATGCCGGCGAAAAGTCTGTGTATGTAACACGTCCACGGTTGTACTCTGGAAATGATGGTGCATACAATGGATTCCGGACTAGGTGCGTTTCTCTAAGTCTTCCTACCAATAAGACCAAGTTGCGAAAACAAGGTCAAAAAACTTATATACAACGAAAGGAGACTGAGACCACACAAAAGACCACACTATCTTGGTCTTAATACCTTCCCAATTATGTGCTTGCTTAAGCGCAATCCTGTGTCGCCAGGGAATCAATTGTGATCCTTCGTCTGTCAAAGCAGGGAACAATTTTTTAAAGAAACTCACTAAACGCAAAGCCATGAATTGTCGCCAGTTGCAATTCTATCCTTCTTTGCTCCATTTTGATATTCTAATATTGTTCAAATATTGATATTATTTGGCTTCTGATTAGAGTAATTTATGTATCCCACCCAACTTTTCATACGAAATAAAAGGTTCAATATAATGAATTTATTATGGACTTCTTTGTAGCCAAGTTTTTCTTCATTTGCGCACAAAAATATATACTCATACTTATAGGGAGGTACCAAGCCAGTGGTCCGATTCTAGCTATTTTCATGACTACTGTGACAGAGGGCATAGGACTGGGTACGTTTCATAAAGTCTTTCTGCCTTCCAAATCACGTTAAGAAAACGAGGTGGTCTTTATTTAGTATAACTAATGTAGAGTACGGCCAAAGCCAAGGCAACACCCTCTTGTTGTTCATATATTGGATATATATGTATTTATTCAATATAAAATCACGCAGGTGTCATAAACCTCAATTGTTTCGACCATGTTGAGCCCTATGTTGTTGTAATGGTCAGGATCAAGAAGACGACGCCACCTTTTTCAGACTTTTTTCCTTTAATTTCACTCTTGATGACGGCCTTGACGCCGTGAAAATACTGATCTATTCTTTTCTCTAAACTCCAATGGTGTGATTATATCCCAACCATTGCACATCAGAGCAATAGTTTCAGCAAATCTGACCGCATCTTCAACTCAGATGGCTTACTTTCATTTTGGACAGATCCTTCGCACCCACAAGCAGACTAGCTAGCTTTGCCCTCTTCCTATTTGCCGGGCCCACTCCACACCATTGCCCTATTCGTGGTCCCTCCGGGCCAGGTGATGCATGCAATGTTTGTCTGTCTGCCCGTCGCCCTTTGTCTGTCTACATGCTTATCGGCTTGCCATTCTGTCAGTCTGTTCACCCAAATGACCGATTGGCTTAAGGATCGATATTCCGGGCTCAAGTCCCATTTACTGCAACCATGCAAGTGGTCCGAACCTCTGGTGTGCCGGTAACATTTGTTTGCTGGGGCTCGCTAGTAGTGGTGATGAAGCTGAGGCCGCCTCCAACGTCGACGCCGGGAGTCATTGGCTCTTTACCACTTTCATTCTTAGCTCGCTCTTTTGACCAGGATACCGATTGCAGGCCGGTTTTCGCCTTTGCCCCAGCATCGTCATTATCATCTTCCAGCTCAGCCTGGTCTGTCATTCGAATGAATTCCCCAGCCAGCACAAGTAGGCAAGCCAACATGCACACCAGCACACCACGGTAGCCTCGAGCGGGTCATCTTCTTGTCGGGCTGCCGGATGCAGGTAGGCAAACCCTGGAGACCTGGTTGAAGGAGGGGTGGCGGAGAGTGGTGGAACTGCGGAGGGGGTGTTGAAATGGGCGCACTGGTGTATGGCGGGATGGGCGAAGGGATGTAGGAAACTTGGCTAGCCACACGAGCCGAATGGCATAGTGTCCGCCCTATCATAACGGTCCAATGCGCAGCGATCCAAGCTTGTCCTGACTTGATGCGGAACATACCGCTTCTCTCCGTCTCCGTCTTGCCTCTACTTTTTTGCTTTCTTACAAGCTCTCACTCTCTTTCTCGTTCGCTGGCTCGTTCTCTGCAGGCCTACGCTTGGCCATCTCTCCCAGCTTGCCGACAGAGCAGACGTGTCCTACAGAAGAAAAAGTCATAGAAAGTCCGGTCGTTCTTCCTCCAAAGGCTCCTGGTGTAATTCCCTCAGCTGGCCCAGACACTACTCCAGTCAACCTGCCAGGAGCAGGACGTGCTTCTGGCATACACACAACGCAGATACACACTCAAACGCATATAAAAACGCGAGCTTCGTGTGCTTATGGGCTTAAGTATACATGAACTAGCATGCGTTAGGATTATTTGAGATGCGAACTACATACTGCCCTTTCTGCCACTGCTACTGCTACTACTACTACTACTATTACTGTATTACTACTTCTGTCACCACTATTACTATCCATTTTTCTCCACTTGTGATTCGAGTGTCCCGTGCAGTCTCCAGACTGCCTCTCCTCTTTCCTCCTGAGCAGATTTATCCGCCTTGCGAATTGCGCCCACACCACGGTGCCTTTCTGTCCACACACCTAGTTTCCGATACAGTAAACTCATTCGGCAAGAGAAGAGAGTGAATCGTGACTGCATTGATTTCTATGCCAAGATTCCTTTTCAGCATCCCATATTGTTAACCCCTTTCAGGGCACGTTTGTAGGCCAGGTTTATCCCGTCATCGTTCTTTCATGGTCCGTCTGTTTATCCTCAAATGTTGTGAGCGAATCCCCTCGACAAGCCTACTAAAGAGGCAAGCATACGATCCTTTCGGTTTGATCAGCCTTGTCTGTTTCAACAAGTTTAGCTGGCGACTGACAGACTTGACCCTTGCTTAACTTGGCTTCACCTTGGCATGAGCCGTGAGGTATGCCGAAAAAAGTAGCTAGGCTACTCGAATCCTCATTTGTGAAGCGCCTGAAAAATATAGCCTGGAGTAGCTAAATGTTCGTATAAACATGCGTTTTTCATTATTTTATGTAAATCCAGCTTGTAATATCTTTACTCGTAGATATGAAAACCAAGATGCTATGACCTCTATTTTGGTCGCAGTCTTTTTTCGCTGTATAAAAGTGGTTTGATTTCGTTTTCACAACTTAGTTGGGTTCTGGGAGCGACCTAGTTGAGCGCACCTTGTACTAAGTTCACGGTCTGATGGTGGGAATTATCATAATTACTATAGAGTACAACTAGGCTGCCCTGACAACACGAGCAAGTTGTAAAAACGGGGTCAAATAACCGCAATATTTTTAATTTTTTAAGGCAATAATGGCAATTAACTACTGCTACGCTGTACATTTACTGAAAACAATGAAAAAATATTTCATTCGAATTTTATCAAGTTCTCTGAAAAGTTTACTTTGTATTAGAACAATTAAGGCTTTCCTTAAATGATTACGGGAATGGCTTTATTTGATTTAACTAATTCTCGAACATTTTTAGTAGGGGGGGGACGTCCAGATTTTGTTTAAATTTCAATTTGATAATACCAAAGAAATTAATTAATCTTGTAAGGGCATTTAATTTATTCTTAATCTCTGTCACTTCAATGCTCATTCGAATTCGAGTTCCGCTCTGTGCGAGTCAGCTGAGAACCTGATATTCCAGGACTCACCGAATAGGCATTTATTTGCTAATTTAATATTAAGGCTCAAAGAATTTGTTCAAAGACCTTGCCAACTAGATAACTATTGATGATAATTATTGGTTAGTTAAATATTCCCTTAACTTTAGCATCACTATGTCCGGATTTGTTACCAGCATACTGTCTTATCGTCAGGTCAGACCTTCATCAGACAAACGGCAAACATATTTAGAGGAAGATCAAACATTACACTCCACAACTTGACCGATTTTAGGCAGCTATAATTGACTTTAAAACTCGTTTTAACATCTCAGAGAATACGACTATTTAATATTGTACTTTAAAGAAGGGTTGACTATTAATTGAAATGTATCACCACTTTGCATTACTTAACTAATTGAAATTCCTTACTCATTTAGTTACCTATTGTTGATTGGAAGCCCTAGATAATTATTTTATACTATATGGCTCTAATTTTTTTTCATTCAATAGTCCATTCACATGACTGCCAGACCTTAACTATAACTTGCGGTGCTATGTTGATGCATATTGGAGGCATCTCTTCATAACACTATCACAGCTGAATGACATATTTTTTATTCTGAGCTCATCATGTGCCGGTTAACTATTTTATTTTTGACACTCGATTCTCTCCACGGAAGGGGGGAAGTTTTTACCTTCCAGAGTAAACTTCTCGAGCTTTAGTTGAGAGCAGATGGTGAATAAAGTTGTTTGGCTCGCCTTCCTTGTTTAATTTCAATAAGTTTATACTCCCCACTAATTGGTGTTACATTAATTTTGGCAAAACCAGCAAACATTAGCAAAAATTTAAGCCTTTCAAGTTATCCGTCATATACATCCTGTTAGACCAGTATGCAAAAGCTCATACTATCACCTCATTGCAAATTTTGTTCACCAAATTGGTTGAATTTCTCTTCTTTTTTGGCCAACTCAGAGGATCTATTGGAGACTTTTTTTAAAGGCAACTCTTGTTGGCACTGCCCTTTTGCATGAAAATAGCGATTTTTTCAACTGATTGGAGCAACTCATCTCCGTCTTTCTACGACAAGTTATTGCGTATGCCTTGAGCTCCTCTATTTCCATTTTGGCTATCTGATCTTCGGCATTTGTTCCCTCTCCATCTATAATGTGGCGTGATTTCACTTATTCATTTCAGCCGAATTGTCCGCTCGATTGCTTTTTCGCCACTCACGAGTAACATTTTCTCCGGCCGTCGACTCGGCCCGACTTAGGCCAACTTGCGTCTACTCCCAGTGGCATTGAGGCAACTCTTACCCATTCCCCTTCCCCCTTGTTAACTAACCCCATCCATCGGACTACCTTGCCCTCGAGAGTGTCATTGCGCCTCGACCTCATCTCCCATCTACGGGCGGGCCAGTCGTCTTGTTTGCCCCACAACTGGTCCTTTGTTCCTGCCCCAGTCGGAGACTGCACGGCAGTCCTAGTCTAAAGGGTCGGAGTCTAAAGAGAAAATGGTCTCTGAGTCACGTTAAACCGTGGTCGCAGTACAGCTTTTCGGTCTGGCCTTGTCGGAGCCCGGAGACTATGTCGGCCTTCGGTGGAAAGAGTATCAGAGCTAGGCTGGACTGAAGAGCAAGCAGTGTCGTGTTTCCCGGTTGTCTTTTCCCACCTTCAACCATTTTCTTAT